AATTTGGTACATTTGTAGAGTCAAGGAGTTGCTGAAGGTTGGATCTAGTGGCATCTGTGTGCATGAATTAGTTGTTAGCATGGTTTATCCTCGGTGGTCAAATAAAAGAAAAATAGCCGAGGACAGAAATTGTCACATTTCTCCCGTGCCTTTGCGTTTATTCCAATTTACTCCAGGTATGAATAACAGACGACACTATCTTCTGACACTGATACCTGGCGTAGCATCTCCGGCTGAAGTCCCTAAGTGGGGTTTACCCCAGACACCAAGAAATCCATATGAAACTAAGATTGTGAAGAGATGTTCATTGCATTTAATCTTGGGTATGTCTTTTAGGCGTATTTTACTGAACAGGATATTGGCTAGGGTTTAACAGGTTAAGGACAATAACTGAAAGAACTTGAGTGCATCATAAGTCAAAAACAGTCAGAAACTAAGCTATCACACAAACACAGCATGGGCACACTCCAGGCACAAATACGACCATTTTGTGTGTTGCTAGCTAGCTGCAGCTAACGTCTATGCACTTGTGACATTGTGTCACATGAACAGACTTTTCAAATGTTCACATCCATGTGACTGTGTACTGTAAGTAGCAAGGAATGGGTTAAGTAACAGTTAGTAATTATTTATTAATTCTGTATAAAATTAATTACATTAGTGTATTAGTTCTTTGTTTACATCTTTTCTCTGCTGCCCCCAAGTGGCCACAAAATGAAATTGATGCAGGTTTAAGTTCTGTCATTTTAAGTAGAATTCACTTGTGGTTACTTAACTCAGCAACGACTATTTAAAAAGCCATTAGTCACAACTCATAAACCCTTTATAAATTGTGCATAATTAGGAAGTGGTAGGCCTAATGCAATACCATTTTTATAACAGAAACCTGAACAGGTGTTGTGTAATTATACAGCCAATAATAAAGTGGAGGGGTCACTGGGGAGAACTGCCTGCCAACACCATCAATCCATAAAATAAAATCTCTCTTTATTTACCTCTCTCTCATAGTGTTACGGTCCCCAATAATTCATTGGCTTTAGTTCTCTTTTTACTGTCTGGCTTTACGGTATAGCACAGCCGAGTAATAGGCTATTGACTTTTTTTTGCAAATAGGCTTGTACATAGGTGAAATAAATATGAAACTGTTATGCGTCGCTGATAATGTTTTTAATTTGCATCCTCAGCCGCAGTCATTAGTACTTTTACTCTTTAAAATGAGAAGCTCCATCCATTTGCAGTCCAGCTCTGTCAAAGTGATGTCAGAGTGGTCTGTGTAAAGTATCAGGCGGTGAGACAGGTCTGACTGGGGTTGTCTCTGCTGCATGTTAGCCTGCCTGTCCTCATTAGATGTTGAGAGATTGACACAACCCCCCGCACCCCCCACCCCACCCCTTTCCCCTTCAGCACAGATGAAGCTCTGTGAATGTTGGCAGGGTGTGAGCAATAATGAATCACTATTAGCCTGGGTCACACTGGCTGACAACCAATTTACAGGGTAGAAGAGGCTCCACATACGGACATCCAGGTAAATCTCAGTGTTTAACTGCTTCATCCTGGGGCAGCACAGGTATTTTCAAAGCACGTATCATGGTAAGATAAGACGTATTTTATCTTATCTCCTGATATTTGTCTGTTTACCCCAGGTCGCTTCGATGCAAAGTAATGAAGGACATTTCTGCATGAATGCTGCAGCGCAAGTTCAGTATCTTTTGGCCCTTTATCTGACCTTGCCATAAGTGAGTACATTCTGACATCTAGTGGTGGTAAATAATAGCAACATCAGGGACGCATTGTTTCATTTCAGTACAAAAATGCTGGTCCAAGGTGTCATGTGATAGCAAAGATGTTAACTTTCTCCTCAATAAAGTGAGAAGCAACTGTTACAATTACATCCATCAGAAATGACAAAACTCCATGTTCGTGGGAGCACTTTATGTACTTCATATGCTGTGTGTTTCTGAGACAACAGACGATGGGGCGTATCCTCTTAGCAAGAAAGACAAATATTTACTTGACATGTGGCTCATAAAGCATGATAGCAAGCATATAATACGTATATTTTATAACCCATAATCCTACAAAATTACACTGAGCACTGAAACCTTTGGTCATAATCATATCATAATGAATGATGATACATGTGATAAATGCTTTGACGTCTCATGTAAATTACTGTATGAACAGCGAAAGGCTTGTAAATACATTACAGCGCGATTATGATGTCCTACCCTAAACATAAACAAAGTAAACACTTTATTGGCCAGCTGAAGCGGAGCTCAGCGTGCTTTTAATAAAAAAAACTCTGAGTCATTCCAGGAGGGTAGTGTAGAAATTAACAACCAGAACATCTGCTGGAAACTCAAAACCTCCTTTATGGATGACAAACAGACCATCTGCGTTGCCAGTCGCATGTAAAAAAAAAAAAAAAAAAAAAGCATAAAGGGCCATCAACTGAAGAAAATGAAGTTCAATTAAAAGTGACTTTGAAAAGATGACTTTATGCTCACGTTTTTCTTGAAGGTGACAGGACAGGCGAGTACGGACTGCTACGTCAGTCAGGGGTAAGACTGCAGTGTTCGTTCCAATCAATCAGTAAAATAACCTTCTGCAGCTCTGGGTCAAAATGAAAAGCTGAAACTCTTGAGTCTCTGTGGCATACCAAAAAGTGACAGCGAGAGATTGGATTCTTTTTCTTTTCAATATCAACGTCTGTCAGTTCCTTTCAGCACGTTCTTGATGCCTACCTGTTCCCCAGCTGCCTTGCCTGAGCTGAATTAAACAGCTAAAATGTAAATTTTACATGTAACCAGCGGTGGAATGCATGTACATGTAATGCAAGTACTGTACGTCAATATATATTTGAGGTACTTGTACTTTAGTTCTATGCAACTTTCTACTTCTACTCCACTTCGCTATATTTATTTGAAAGCTTTAGATATTAGTTGTTATGAATGAAATTACCCAACAGTATATACAAGTTCAGCTGAAACGTTTAGTCAATTAATCAATTAGGTTGACGAAAAAAATAATGCATACTATATTGATATAGTCTTTTTTCGTGCAACATTTCATGGTTCCAGCTTCTCAAATGTGAGAATTTGCTGATTTTCCTTTTAATTATTTTAATAACTTTAATTTATTTTTAATAACTTTTGAGGTTTGGACTGAAGGTGTCACTTTGGGCTCTGGGTAATTTGGACATCTTTTCTCACTATTTTATGAATTTTTCCGAACCAAGCATCCATCGATTAAAGAAGGAAGAAAGAAAGAAAATAAGCAGATTAATCCATAATGTTAGTCATCAATATACAAAGCAGTAAAAGCTCTTAGTGTATTGAATTGAGAAACAATGTGTTTTGTTGCTTAAAAAATCCACTTCTGGAAGAGGAAGATTGCGTAATTTCTTTTCAAAAGTTATAGTCTCACTCTCGCCTCATACCACATCCAAGCGATAAATTTAGCCAGTGACTAATACCACAAACATAGCTTCTACAATGAATTTACATTTCCTCTAAACACCCATTGTAAGAAATTAATTAACTTAATTGTTTCCTGGCGAACATTAGTAACCACTTGAGATCGTCTCCGTCTTTGTTTCCACATTTCTAAAAACGGCTCCTGAGTTTAAATGCAAAGCTGGCAGTAGGATCTGTTTTGTTTCTTTCCACAAACGTTCCCTCTAACTCCAGTGATTATGACCTGGCGAGGAGTCCACTGCTTTAATCAGACACCAGAGAGGGTCACTAGGGCCAAACACAGCTTGTTATCTGGCCTCGGCTCACTGGCGGTCAAAGCTCACGACGAGGCGCTTCCCTACAATCAAAAGAGGTCCGTACGATGTGCAGTTAATCAAGTTACAATCACAGAGGCCATGTGGAGGCTGTAGGTGGGTACAACTGGACTTCAAGTGGACAGAATGAAAACTAAAGATAAATAGTCTGCACGCTGCTGCTCTGGAGTTGTGCAATACATTTATCAAGGAGAAAGAACGCTAGAGAGCAGACTATTTTTCTCTGTCTATTTGTTATTGTTCTGGAGCATAAAAATAGCAACAAATACGATAATGGCTTTCTGGACGTTTACAGCATACACTATGATAGAATATGACAGAAAAAAGGAAAGGGGAAAAGTATAAGTGTGTGGAGGAGTTTACCACAACAACAGACAAATTAAATGATAAACTGATTTAAAATGAGAAGTTTTCTTATTAGGTTTTTAATAAAATCAATGATCTGAGCAGAAATTGGAAAGCAGCATGGTGCAGACTGCCGTATTTTGCTGTTAAATGAAAAATGAAAATACCTAATGAGTGTGTTGACCACTAACTGTACAGTGAACCCTCATAACAAGCTCAGAACTTACTTTGAAAAGTGATTACATTGCCCATTCAGCTGCATAATACGTTTGGCATTAGTTGTACACTGAAGATAATCCTTTTGCGGTACTTTGCCACCAGATGGCGCCATATGCTGAGAGCTGCTGGTAGAGCTCAACGAAAATATCATCCAACCCCAAGTGCTACACCCAACATGATTACTGAATATTTCATAATGAACATATTTTTTATGTTGGCTTTAACTGTGTTGCATTATTTATAGTTAGTTCATATTCACAGTTTCATCAATTTAAGATGAATTTGAGCACGGAGGTAATGCTTTTCTTATTATTGAGTGTGGATTAAGGATCTTACAAATCTTAGTTTAGGTCAGTGGTTCCCAGCCTTTTTGACTTCTGGACTCTTTTTTAGGATTTGAAGGATTTTTAACTAGCCTTAGAGGTGAACAAATGCTATATTTCACAAATATAAAGGCAAAAATTATGAAGGAAATCTGAAAAAATAATGATTTGTGAGTTATTTTTGTTTTTGTCCTTTCTTATAATGTGGTAACCTTTCAGATGTTTCTCGTCTTGGAAAACCCCCATTTAGACTGTGAATAAGATGTTAGGGTTAGTTAAGGGTTAAAAGTGCCTGCTCTGCCTCTAAGACTCCGCCTCCTTTGGGTGACTCAACAAAACAGGAAGAAGGAAGTGCTCGAAGACTAAGCACGTATATCTGTCACAGGACTTTGGTTATCAGGTATGTTTGGCTCTCACTTTCTTATGGAAATAATATATGATGATATTCAGTTTGCACTTTAAAGCCTTAAAGACTGATCTGTGTTCAGTAGTCTGTAGTCACTGGGAGGAGTAAATAGACAACATAGCTTGTGCTTGTTGGCACAAACAAGGCCCCTGTGTCTGCACCTTTGCCCTACTTTCGTTTCCAGAGCGAAACAGGAGTGCTGGTGTCAGAATGGCAAGCAGGCTCTCGCTCCCAGGGGTGGACCTCTCCTGTCCCATATGCTGTGAAATCTTCAGAGACCCGGTGGTCCTAAAGTGCAGCCACAGCTTCTGTGGATCCTGTCTGCAGAAGTACTGGACGCACGCACGGAGCCGCGACTGCCCTCTGTGCAGAACCCAGTCCGTGGACGACCCCGTACCCAGCCTCACCCTGAAGAACCTCTGTGAGTCTTACATTGAGGAGAGTGAGGGTCCGGAAGATACGTCAGGGGAGCTGTACTGCGATCCAGGGGAGATGTGCCCTCTGCACGGGGAGAGGCTCAAGCTTTTTTGCCTGCCGGACAAGGAGCCCATCTGCGTGGTTTGTCACACCTCAAGGAAGCACAAACAGCATGATTGTTGCCCTGTCAGCGAGGCTGTCGTAGACGTGAAGGTAAACACTTTGCCTTCCAGATAAAATGTAGAACTAAGGTGGAATAATGATGTGCTTTTCCTTGGGGTTGTTACTCTACGTTCCCTGAATAGATGTTCTGTTTTACCTTCAAGGATGTTGCCAGCCTAAAGTTTTAAAGGTTAATCTGCTTCTTTTCAAAAGGCCTTCAAATTAATTTTCTCTTCATTTTCTACTCAGGAGAAAATGAAGTCAGCCCTCAACTCTTTGCAAGAAAAGAGGGATGCTTTTGACCAAATGAAGAAAAACTATGAGGACATTGTGGCATACATTCAGGTATAGTAGGATTCTTTCTCGTAAATCCACAGAAGTCACGCTGCCATCTCCAAGCCACTCTCACGCGGTGTTTGTTTCAGGTCCAGGCTCGATTTGTGGAGAGACGAACCCGCGAGGAGTTTGAAAAGCTTCACTCTTTCTTAAAAGCCGAGGAGGAGGCCAGAATGCGGGCGCTGAAGAGTGAGGAGGAGGAGAAGAGTCGAGCAATGATGCAGAAGATCGATGAAATTACCAGAGACATAACATCCGTGTCCGAATCCATCAGAGTTTTGGAGGAGGAGATGGCTTTGGAGGGCGTCTCTGTCCTTCATGTAAGTTTGTAAATGTGGATATTTGCATAAAAACCCGAGTTCTATTTTTAAGTCTAAGTGAATTTGCCTCTTTTTTTCCCCCCTCAGAAATGCAAGAGGACTCTGGCAAGGTGAAAAAAGCGTTATCTTTTAAACTTTACTTTGTTTTGCTTGCATAACAACATGAATAAAGCAATTATTCTCCCTGCAGAGCCAACTGCCCCATCCAAGATCCTGTTATGGCCCCCGGAGCACTTATAGATGTGGCCAAATATGTAGGCTCTCTGTCCTTCCACGTATGGGAGAAGATGCATAAAATCATCAAATACAGTGAGTACATACTCTAAACTCTAAACTTTTAGTTGCAGTTTTGCCTCATGTATTCCTGAGGTGGACAGAAGGTTGTGATTCTGAATGAACTACCGGAGACAGCTGACAGTCTGCCATGTTTTCTTCAGCCCCAGTGACTCTGGATCCCAACACCGCTGCCCCGTGGCTCATCCTGTCAGGCGACCTCACCAGCGTCTGTGACAGCGATGAGAAGCAGAAGCTGCCCGACAACCCGGAAAGGTACGACCCTGACACCGGCGTACTGGGCCGCGAGGGCTTCAGCTCAGGCAAGCACTCCTGGGACGTCAGCGTGGGAGATAACACGGCGTGGGTTGTCGGTGTGGCTAAAGCGTCCGTCCAGAGGAAGGAGAAAGTGTCTTCGGTGCTCAAGAACGGCTACCTGTGTGTGTACTTTTACCACAAAATGTACTTCGCCGGTACCTCTCCTTTAACGAGGCTCAACTTGAAGAGAAACCCGCAGAGGATCAGAGTGCAGCTGGATTGTGACAAGGGCAGGGTGTCTTTCTACGACCCACATGACAATACGCACATCTACAGCTTCAAGCACGCCATTACTGAGAGAGTCTTTCCTTACTTCTGGGTGGGCTGTCAGCAGTGTCCTTTGACGGTCGAGCCGCTGGAGGTTTCTGTTAGAGCTGTCGAGTATTGTTGAAAGTACATTTGCAATCAAATACCTTTTTATCTTTTTTTCTTCAGCACAAAAGGAATGGGAATGTTTTTTTTTCAATTGCACATAGTGTGAGGAGAGCTCTCAGAATATGAAATCAAATTGCATAATTTAAGCACTTTCCTTCCTGGTTCAATACAATGTCTTGTACAGCCTTTTCCAGTTGACAACATAATAAATACTTTGTCTCTGCTCTTTAATTTGATCTCTGCACTTTGACCTGCTAACTTCGGACTATGTGCTATTTCTTTAAAATGTACTATATACATATGTTTGTGTAAAACACAGTCTGACTGCTTAATGTGTGTTTTATATATATGGTGCAGTGTAGCCTGAAAACATTTATTAATCCGGTTTTGGTTTGATGGATCAAAGTTTGTGAAATGATTCAGAATTTGCATGTCAAACTTCAAATCTGTTTGTTATTCTGAAGCTCATTTCTGTTATGTTATGGATACATGGAAAACACTGAATGTGCTTTATGTGCAAATGCTAATGATACAGAAATTTGAGAGCGCTCAAATAAATATATAATTTGCAGAATTTTCAGGACCTCCCTTGATTTTGTGCAGCCGTCATGTCTCGCCTAAAATGAAACAATGAATGGTTTGTTTGAGGAGGAATCACACTCTCCTCACTTTAGGGTTAGTAGTACAGAGGCCATTAGGCTATATAAAATGATTAACAGTGTAAAATGACTCTTTGCTGGCATTTCAATATAGGAAACTATACATGGACTCCAGTGCAAAGTAAAACATTTGACAGCTTTGTTACATAGTTTGATGACTTTTCACAACTTTTTATTACAGTGAACCATTCTTTACATATATCTAAAAGTAAGTTCAGAAGACTAGTCAATTGTGTGGGATTATTTTGTGTGTATCAATGATGAAGATTTCATATTTTGAAATTTAAACTTCTTAATATAATATATGTATATATAACCAGTGGTGGAAGAAGTGTTTAGATACTTTAAAGTACTAGTACTACTAGTTAAAGTACTAGTACCACACTGTGAAAAAAGTCCTTCATTCAAAACCTTAATTACTGTTGCATTAATGTGTATGTTGCATTTTACTGCTGTAGATGTTTACGATTCAGCTCATTTGAACTACTTTACATACTGTTGGGTAGTTCAATCTACAGAAATGCATCATATTCTGTAAGATCATTGTATTTGTAGCATCGCTGTCCTGTGAGAACCACATATCTCTAAAAAGTCAACATTTCATGAGCTCAGAACAACACCTCTGATTTCAGCTCTGTCACGATGCATTTTCCAGCTAATACAAGGAGGGGTTTTAAATAAATGAGGAAGAAAGAGAATTATCTGTCAGCACATAAAGTAACACTTAATCCTGCGGTCTATCACAAGCATTCAGTATCATCAAACCTGGAGATAAATGCTTTTCATTAAAGTAAGATCAAGTAACTAAAGTTGCATAAAATGGGCTCAAAACTCAAGTAAAGTAAAATAATAGGCCTGTTTACCTCAAATTTGTACAGTAGGCCACTAGGGTAAATGAATTTAGTTACATTCCACCACTAAATACATTATATCAGTTTATGTGCTACAGTAAGTATTCTAAATTGTATCTGTGTAAGTGAAATCACTGTGAAAATACTGAAATCTTTCTTTTTCTTTTTTTCTTTTTTTTTTCTTTTTTACATTTTTGCTATTTTAACAACATGTCCTCATCTTACCCCTCCCACTGAACTGTGCACTGCAGCATGGCCCGTCGACATTGCCCTCTTCTTCACTCCTTCACCTCTTCACCTAAAGCAACTTAACCCAATGTGGCAACGTTTGGTTACTTATGTGAGAAAATAAATATACTTACTGGCATCATTTGTGAAGCTGGAGACTGAAATAAACCTCCAAGCCGTCAGAAGGTGTCAGGACTGAAGGTAAGGTTGGCAAATGACCCACTTGTTAATTAGCTAGCTTTCAAATCGGTTTATTAGCTCAGTAACGTTAGTTAGTTATGGCCGCGATGCTAATTGTGCCTGTAGTTAATATCTAGCTAAGAATGTGTTATGAAGTCACAAGTACGTTCAAAAGTGTGTTAGTTAGAGGTTGGGTAAAGTTACATTTACATAAATTATGATCCAAAAAATACAGCCACCAACAAAAAAACTCCACTGGTGGAAAAAAGACAGCTGCTCACATAGTTCAACCTACTCAAAGGTATCAAAATATACTGTCAAAAGTAAAAGTGCTCCTCATATAAAGTTGTCCATTTCAGAATGATCTATTTTATTGGATTATAATAATGATGCATTCATGTGTCAGCCTCAGGTTGGCTAATTTGTATTTTTTTCCATACTTCTGGGTGGTAAAAATGTAAAATAATATGTCATAAAGTATTTTTTTCTTACACGTATTATCTGAATCTGCAAAGTAAGTAGTAAATTGGGTTATGAAATAAATGTAGTTAAGTAAAATGTAAATTTTTCAAAACTGTACTTAACTACAGTCTTTCAGTAAATGTACTAAGTTACTTTCTACCACTGAAATCAAGTAGTTTGATTCTATACTCTATAGTGTATCTGCACTAAGCTGGTGAAGACTTGGCTAAACCTACTATATTGTGCTAATTTACTAAAAATACATTTTTCTTTTCTTAAAGGCCGTCCAAGATGCCGAAGAGAAAGTTGGCGAGTAATGTTTCCGTCATACAGCCCGCGCCCAAATCTCCCAATGTCGCCTTGCTGAACCAGTCTCTCCTCCTACTGGAAATCCCTGCTGACACCAACACCAGTCTCCCGGTATGGGAGGCCATAAGATCCCAGCAGGTTGGAGTAGTCTGGACCGTCAACCCCTACAGCGTCAGTGTTCATTTAACCCCTTTGACCAATAAGCAAGACAATACTACAACTTCCAGCCAAAGTGAAGGCACGCCCAGTGTGACACAGACCTCAGCCCCTTCCTCTAGCATCCTGCAGCATCAGATGGTCATCCAGTCCGTTAGTCAGCAGCATGGCTCCCCCCAGAACACCTCCTGTGTCCTGCTCACCTTCTCCCAAAACAGCACCCATCCACTGCCGAGCCCTCCCGGTAAACCACAGAATATACCTCCAAACCCTGTGCAGGCAGCCAGCTCCCTCATCATCTCCTTTCCACTCATCATCAACCAACCACAGCCCGCCCCTCAGCCCAGCACCCCTACCCAGGAAAGGGTCCCACCCGCCATCCAGACCCCGACAGCCACCCCCACCAAGTTGCAAGCCCCGTCCAAAGTGCCCGTCCCGTCTCCGTTCCACACCAAGTGCACCTCCGACGTCGAGATCTGTGACAACTTCCTCCTGGGTTTGTGTCGTGCGGGGAAAAAGTGTAAGATGCACCACACTCCCT